AGAATATCATTGATCAAATGCAAGAATTGATCAAAGAAGTGACCAGCTTCGGGCTAAACCTGAGTGTCCTGGCCAGATCAGCGCACTTGTTAGAGCAGGGGCTCAGGCTCACCTAAGAGTACTTCGGGCACCATTAATACAGGTAATGAATGTTCCATCCTAACTTATGAATACACTTAAAGAAAATGATGCAGGACCCCTATCAGAGACACGTTAGGTTGTCTGCTTTACGTGACTCCATCTAGCTATACCGACATTTCTCACTCGCCATCTCTGGTCTGACCACCACCATCTAATGGGATCCATGTATATGGTCGTGTCATAGTCCCATATATTATCAGCTCTTCGAGCGTCAAAGGGAGCACGTCTGTTGACCATTAGGAATCCCATGAGAGCCTGACCAACCGCGTAGTTTGACCACGCCTAAATTTCGACGAATCTCCATACTTCATTCCATCGACTTCCTAAAACTATAATATAAAGCAATGGTGTGGGGGAATTTATGCCTGAATGGTGGATATTATGGTAAGACCAGCAACCGACAGTGAAAGATCTAAGGGTAATTCGGCATGAGGTATTGCATATGATCGACCATCTCAAGCAGACTGCGTGTGATCTACGAAATTAGGTTGAGGAATCAGCTTCATAGGCTAGGCTGCATGGGTTGTAATCACTCACAACAGGTGGTGATGTCGGATTGACAGCTCCCTGAAGACGAGATTGGAGCATTTTACACTCCACACGGACCTGTAGGGCCTCCATGAGGGAGAAGGGAGAATTGGATACGAAGAGAACAAACCGAGCGGAAGATGTCCGATATAACTAGTAGTTGCTCACGAATCGTCTCTATATCTTGCTCCGCCTTCCCCATAATTGGCTCCAAGATTTCCTTTTGCTCTTTTAAATGCTCCATTTCAACTTGTTTTATTCGGATTCCAGATTTGGCAGCTGGTGGAAAGGTCAGTGGCAAACAGACTGATAACCGAGGATGACTGACCGCGGAGTTTGTGACGATTGCGTAGGGAAAAAAGCCAAGATCCAACCGAGAGTAAAGTGGATCCCTGAAAAATCTCCACGTTCATTTGAGACCAGAAGAGTATATATAACGAAAATTGCTTACCGAATCGATATAATTCAGGATTTCCTTCAGC